TTGGTTCATCATAGGCAAAGTGAATTATCAGGACGAATTCAAGAGATTATGAGAACTTCGGAGAATACGACGTTATTGAATGCTTGTCAGACCGTGATGTTCCCGTGAGTATATCAATCAGGATTGGTTTATATAGAATATTGACGAAATGATATTGATTCTTTTGGTTCTTAGTCATCATCCTCGAGCAGTGGGATCACCGTTCCTTGCACGGTTAACTGAAGGAATGATTGATGCATCTGATTTACTCTCAATCTTATCACAGTTAGGATTCTCTGGGATCTTGATCCATAATTGCTTTTATGAGAGCGATGAAGCAGGTAGTGTGCTTGGACATGGAAGTGCTACTGGAGGTAAAGAGTATGATCACAGAGTGGCAAGGCTGTGTGTACAATTGGTAAGTAATTTTTTTGTCTGATTGAGTTTTTTGGGTTGATTTAGATTGAATATTGATATTTGATTTGGCTTATATAGATCAATGAGACTTTAGCAGTTTGAAAAAAAAGAAAGTATTATATGATGATAAGTAGTAAAAAAGCAACAACAGTGATTTCTTTGAAGTAGAAGAATAGATTAAAAGTATTAGAAAGATGATGATGATGATGACAAGATATTTATTTATTTATCTTTTCTTCGAAAAAAGTATCTTGAAGTTTGCAAAGTGTGTGTGTGTTCTTTTACTTCTTGGTTGACTTAATTTTTTTAAAATCAATTTTTTCTAAACAAATTTGTATGGGAATTGATTGGTTATAGTTTTTGAGAGAAGTGAAAGAAAGAAAACAAATGAATGTGATGGGGTTTTTTTGTCTTTTTTTGTTTTTTAATGTGTGGGTTTTTTTTACTGGATGTATATCGTTCTTTCAAGTTCTTTTTTTAAGTAGTAGTATGGAAAACTTTTTTTTTACTTTTGAATTGTAAATGTGTTGTTTTGATCACCTTATTTTAGTTTAGTTTCATTTAGATTCAGGATTGCATGAATAGTTTTTTTGAATTTTGAAAGTTTGTGTGATTGCATTTGAATTGAGAATTTATGATCTGAAACCACATATATTCACAAAGACATGAAGGTCGTGGTGATCATTCAATCAATCTGAACACATGGGTGTTGGATATCAGTAGGTATCAAGATAAGTTTGAAAGATTTTGGTCTAAAGGATTTACCTGACATAGCAAATGAAGGAAAGTGTTGACATTTTGTGGTCATTTTGTATCCTTTTCCAAAACCACAAAAATTCTCTAAAAACCCTCAGTCTGGTGCCCCCACTCTGACTGACTCAAATCTTTCCTTGTAATATGGAATCAAATTGATCACCTAAATCATTGATGGCCACTTGCTACTGCGCAGATCTCGACTGACCGTGTTAGACCTCAAGATGAGCTCCCCAGATGGAATTTTTTTCATGAGAGCTTTTGAGAGACTTGTAAGGGATGGACACTCAACATTTCTCAGCTGGAGTCAAATCTAATTACTGCACTGAGTCTGTGCGGCCTTATTCCATTCTGGGGTACAAGGAATGATTTGGGTTCCTATTTCTACTTTGTAAATTCAAATCTAACAAATCTAAACGTGCGGCAAAGGACTTTGTAAACGAGCAGACATCAAATTCCCTTTCAACTCCATCGGCCCTCCCTTCCCCTTGAACTTGCACGGAGAAGGGATCTCTCCAAGGGAGATCTGAAGGAACTATCCAGGGTCCTGTAGCAGGCGTAAGGTTATTTTTGTCGGGCAGAACACGGTATGTTGCATGTGCCAAAAAACAAATTTGACAACTGGGAACCACAAGAATACTGTATCACACGTCTAGCCAATGGTGACGGAGTACATTCATGCCCCAGATGATAGATATTTGAAAAGTGATGTGCCCGTTGATGAAGTTGGAGAAGATAAAGTACACAAATTCCAAGACGTTGTGTTCCCGTATCGGAGGATCCCCGGTAAGCATATGCCCCAAAGTGTGACTTCAAGTAAAACTTCATGATCTT